CGGGCGCGGGCCCGGCGGGCGGGGCGGGTTTATGGCGGCGGCTCTGTCCCTGTCCGCCCTCGCTGCCAGGCTCTCCCAGTCGGCCGCTGCCCGCTCCTACGGCGTCTTCTGCAAGGGGCTCACCAGGACCCTCCTCATCTTCTTCGACCTGGCCTGGAAGCTCCGCATCAACTTCCCCTACCTCTACATCGTCGCGTCCATGATGCTCAACGTGCGGCTGCAGGTGGGCGGGGGCGGCGGGGCCGGGCCGGGGGGGTGTCCGGGGGTCACGGCCGGGCCGGGGCCGCTGCGGCTCCCCCGGTGAGGGCGGGGCGCGGCCGGGCGGGTCCCGCCGTGCCCGCCCTGGGGCTGTTGCCCTGCCCGGTGTCCCCCGGGAATGTCGCTCGGATGCAGCCCTGGAGGAGACTCGCCCTTGCCCGTGGCCAGGTGCGAGTGCCCCGCTGTGCTGCTCGCTCTCCGCGTTCTCCAGTTTATTCGTGTTCCTGAGCCGTAGTTAACTCAAAGACAGGCAATAAATTGTGAATATATGCACATTTTAAGGAGCAAAGAAAACAATTTCCTTCATTGGTTTGTTGGGTTTTTGTTTGGTTTGGTGGTTTGTTTTTTTTTTAAATCAGGACAGTTGCAGCAGGGAAAATGCAGAGAGAGTTTTAAATACCAGTGTCTTTATATAAAATACTAGTTAATATTTAATTTGCATCTCCTCTGTTTCTGCAAAACGTTGAACTCCCTAAACCAGCTTTGACCTGTTGTAGGGTTTAAGTTTCGTTGTTTTTATGATGAAACGAAAGCTTTACTTTAGACTTAGCTGGCAACAGAAGCAAGCGGTGGACTGTCACAACAAACATCTGTTCTAGCCAAGGCTTGGGCACTTTCTCCTCGTAAACAGCTGTAATGAAAGTTTTGACATCTGGCCAGTGGCCGAGTGCTGAGAGACAAGACAGTTTGTGACTTGTAAAAGTTAAGCTAAAATGGGAAGAGGCCAAAACATGACATCTCTTATTTTTATTTTTGGGATTCGTCCTACAGCTCTGAACCTTGAAAATGAGCCACGTGGCCAGGAGTTGTACCTGTAGTTTAGTAACCTTGGTAGCTGAAAAAACGTGCCTTTGCTTGTTATCAGTGTTGGCACATAATAGTTCTCTTGGAACAACATCAGCCTGTCCTTTGACTGCACTACAGCTGATCCCGCTGGTGCAGCCAGTCTGACCAGTTCCCTTGGGAAGCTGTGCATGGTCCAGTGTTATTTCCAGTATTGTGGGTCTGATTTCAGCTTGCACTTCTGTTTACAGGAGGATTACTTTACTATTTACCTTCAATGTTAAGTTTCTAATCTGTCCCAGCCCGTGTTTCTGTTGGATAAGGGAAATGGTGCTGTCACACAGCGAATCTCTTGCTGCTCGTTTGCTGACTCACTTTCACATCTGTCACCAAAAGAGAGTTTGCAGCAGATTAAACTGAAACTACAGAAGAAAGCTGGTTTTTGGGTATGCTTCCTACCCCTCTGGATGTGTTCAAGCAGCCTATAGGGAGACTTGTCTGTTTGGACAACTGTTACTTTTTATAGCTGGGTTATTCTTTATGTTAAAGATTTTTAATTATTTTTTTTTGGTCTGTATATGAGGCACCAAGAAACTGGGATATCAGTGTAATAACTTTCTGCATTCTTTCTCTTTAGGTCCATATTGAGATCCACTGACTGGTGACTTGGTGTGCTGCTTGCACTGTATGCTGTCTGTCACACTTCTCTTCCAATCCAGCCTGTTGTGAAGCAGCAGAGCTGTGCTCATGTGCTCCAGGACTATGAAGAAAGAAGATTTAACCCAGAACCCAGTATGTGACGATGACCCAGCTCATCCCAAGGCAGCAGCTCACCTGACACATGTGCATTCCATGTTGGACAGTTCTCAATATCTGAGTAGCAGTTTACAAGAATTATTTAACACGAGGAATTGTTCTCTCTTCAATACTATACCTCTGCCTTCTGTTGGCAAGGAAATGTCTCTGAGTTTCAGTGAATCAGCAGGGATGAACTCCAGTGCAGCTGCTCCTTGGAAGGATTCATTTCATCTGCATTTTTCTTCTGGCAAAGACAGTCCTGATCTGGTTTCTCACTGCATTGATGGTATTTCAGTAACAGGCTGGCTGGAGAAAGCTTGTAGCCTTTCTGGAGACTTCAGCTCCTGCTGTCCAGGAGACAACTCTGTATGTTTTGCACAATTCTGGCTGGGACATTTGCAGTGTAATAAAAACCTGCGGTTTCTGGGATTAGAAACGAGCAGCAGCAAAGAGAATGAAGTGCAGTTTGCATTTTTGAAAGCGTTGGAGCTTGGTGGACTTCCTGATCCCTGTTGTATTCCAGCTGCCTCCCTGAACGACTCGTATGCTATGGGACTCCTAAACAACCAAAAACCAGGGTTCTTTCTTTGTTACTTAAACCTTGTATCTTCAGAGCAAACACTTGGATACGAGCAAATGCTTCTGAATGTACAATATGTGGCTAATAATTTTCCCATCATACAGCTGGTCATTTCTGTGCTAGCTTTTGCACTAGCAGGTCTCTGGTGTGCAGTAGTCAGGGTAAAGTACTGAGATTTTAGTAACTACTATTTTTAATATTAACAGAAATTTAAATAACAGAGAAAAGGTCTCAGTTCAGGTTTTAGTGAGAAGTAGCTAGCTAAAGTAAAAATTATACTTGTGTAATTGCTAGTGAAACTGGCTGTTGGAAGAATAGGGACTTCTTTTTTGTAAGAAATATCTGCATCTGTGTGGAAAGAACTTCATAATTTCCAGACTCTTTGGGACTTTGCAGGCCTGTTGTTAACACTAAACTAGAACCCAGTTTGATTAGCACAGATCCTTTTTTTTCTTTAGGGTTTGTATTAGTGCAGTGTTTTAGCTACTACTATTTACAGCCATTTCCAGTGAAACTGTTTCTTGTAGAATTGAATTCTTGCTCTGAATCCAACAGTGACTAATACATCAATTCTTAAAACACTTTGAACTGGAAAGCTGTTGAGAGGGTGGTCTTCAATACA